TGATCACTACTCACAACCCCCACAATTATCCTACTGGTTAAAACTACCATTATCTCCCACCTTGATTACTCCCACAGTCTAACTTATCTTCTGCTTCCATTCTTATCCCCAACACTCAATTCCCACACAGGAGGCAGTGGTTCTGTTACAATATAAGTCATACCCCATCATTACTTTGCTCAGAATCCTCCAATAGTTTCCCATGTCATTTACAGTAAGTCTATAGAATGTTCTACAAGGTCCTACCCAATATACCTCCTCCCTCCCTCTTTACCTCTCTGATACATTTCCTACTTATTCTGTCCATTGTTCACTCAGCTGTTCTCCTTGCTGATACACTAGCACACCAAAGCTTACTCCACCTCAGAACCTTTATTGTTACTCCCTTGACCTGCACTGATGGAGGAAAAAAGGAATGGGGGTGGGGGTAGGGATAAACTGAATAATCAATTTCAAATTCAGCAAAGAAATCTCACCTCAATATATACATTTGGGAGTCTCCAGCATATAAGAGATAATTAGTCATAAGTAGGCTTGAGGATTTGAGAGTAGAGGGAGCAGAGAAAAGGAAAAGGGCCCAAGATTAAGACACACTGATAAAGGATAGCTTACAAAGGCAACAGAAATGAAGCAAGCAGAGAGCAAGCAAGGGGGAGAAAAAGAAAGAAATTATAATGCTGAAGAAGGCAAGGATAGGAAATGTTCTTAGGGACTAGTGACTAGAAGGTAATCAGTGCCTCAAGTAACTTATGGCTAGCAGGAGGGATGGGAAACTACCACACCCAGAAGATCTACTACTTACAGATCCTGTCAACCCCCAAATCACCAGAGGTCATGGGAACCTCCTGATTTATAATAGTCAAAGCCCAGGTTGACACACCTGGATTTGCGATTTGCATCTTATTGGGGCAGTTTTGTAGACTGCGCCCGAGACTATGCTATTTCCAGATAGATGTCAGAATTGAGTTGTAGGACACCCAGCAGGTGTCTTAGAGAATTGCTTGGTGGTATGGAAAAAACATACATTAGAATTGGTACAAGAACTGCATTAGATAAATGCAAATCAAAATCAATAATGAGATACCACTTTACACCCATTATGATGATGGCTATTATAAAATACACACACACACACACCAAAAAACACCACACAGAAAATCACAAGTGTTGGTGAGGCTGTGGACAAAGTGAAACCCTTGTGCTTTGCTGGTTGTAATATAAAATGATGCAGCTGCCATGGAACCCAATTTAGTGGTTTCTCAAAAACATTAAAAATAGAATTACCTTTTCTGGGTACTTTCACAAAAAGAATTGAAAGCGGGGACTCGAACAGATATTTGTACATAAATGTTCATAGCAGCATTATTAAAGTAGTCAAAGGGTGGAAACAACTCAAATGTCCTTTGACTGTGAATGAGTAAAAAGAATGTGTATGTGTATATACTTTTAACCTAAAAATAAAAGGCCAAAGTGAAAGGCAACAAGCATTTATTTGAGATAAAACAATAGCTATTTGGGGCTGTGGCCGGGTAGTTCAGTTGGTTAGAGCTACAACCAGATATATCAAGGTTGTGGGTTTGATCCCCAGTCAGGGCACATACAAGTATCAACCAATGAATGGCTAAATAGGTGAACAACAAATCGATGTTTCTCTCTTGCTCTCCCCCTTTTCTCTCTCTCTATAAAATTAATAAATTAAAAAATATTTTTTTACAATTTCTATAAGTGTAGGTAAGTTAACATAGTGATGATAATTCTAAACAATATTTTTAATTTTTAGTCCAGTAGTCATGGTTTCTTATTATCTCTGCAAACAATTGTTTGAAACACACTGTTGGTTCAGAGCCAGTTCCAAGTTATTCTGCCCTGTTTTAACATTCCAAAGGTTTAAGACAGAAGATGTGCTATGAGTTTCTCTGGGGTGGCAGCCCTAACTCCATTATAATGTGGCTCCATTTA